ATTATTGCACACGTACAATAATTATTTTATTTAAAAGAAACAAGTATATTTATAATATATAAATATAAATCTCGTATATTTAATATATAAGGCTCTTATTGCTCGTTTCTTAATTATCATGGTGTTTAATATATACATTCTAAATAAAATAATACACTTCAATAATTCATAAATAAATAATTGATATTGGAAAATTTTTCAAATTAAAATTATGGAATATATAAAGAAGACAATCTCTGAATGTGTACCTTATAGCCTATACAACACAGAACAATATTGCTGCAATATTGCTGTAATATTACAAAAATGTTCCGTGCTGTATGGGAATAAAAATAAAGACTTCATGGATAAAGATTTCATGGATAAAGACTTCTTAATATTTAAAGTATACAAGGTGTCCCAGACCACCCTTTTAAAATGAAAATAAATGGCTTTTATCAAAAATCACGAACAAGTTTGAAGTAAATCAGGTACGCTCCATCAAATGGTGATATTTTCAACTTTTGATTCCGACCGGAAATACGCCATCCGGATCGGAAATTGAATTTTTTTAGGGAAATATGGTACTTTTTATTACAGAATCGAATTGTACGTGAAAAAGTAAGAAACTTTTGTATCAAACGTTTTTTCTGAAAGTGCCTCTGTCAATCTTAAAATTGAAAGTTCATTATTTCATCACAGTTACTTTCAAGGTCAATTTTTGTATTTTGCGTATTTCTGGTTGGAATCAAAAATTGAAAAGATCACCATTTGATAGAGCGTATCCGAGTTACTTAGAAATTGTTCGCGATTTTTGATAAAAGCCATTTATTTTCATTTTAAAAGGGATGGTTTGGGACACCCTGTATATACACGAGGGATGCTTGTCAGATTTCACTTTTACGTAGGGAATCTTAGATAATGCTGAAGAAATCTGACACTTTGTAATCTAAAGGTCTAAAAATTCATTTCAAGGTCATATGATATGATTCCACTTGCCTTGAAAGTGCCTCCTTATGGAGTACCATTTCAAAATATCATCCGTCCAAAAAGATATTATGGATTAATTGCAATAAGATATTATGGATAATTATTATATTAGATAAATGCTAAAATATAATAATAATAATAATAATAATGCTGATGATATTATATATTCGGTTCTCATAAAATAAAGTTTCTCAATAAAATTAATTATATATTTTTATATATTTTATATATATTTTTCTTTTATATATTAAATATATTTTTATATATATTTTTATATATTTATTTATATATTTTTATATATTTTTTATATATGTATTTTTATATATTTATTATTAAATATATTTTTATATATTTTATATTTTTACGGACAACACACTTGGCCTCTTAGGCAGAGAATTTAAACGTGCAATTTCAAATTTCATTTTCATGTAAACGCCCTGATACGCGCATACTTTTATTGTCATGTTGCGATTAATCGAGATACTTGCTCCTTTAACGAAAGAGAGGATAATTGAAAGGGCGCAAATGCAAATTATAGGGCATCGTGTGAAGTTTCCATCCGCGTAATGACCCGAGACGGGGATGATTATGCTCTTGACATGCAGCGCGCGTGGAGGGGAAAAAAACAGAGATAAATAAACGCACTTTGCACGGTTAGAGCGTGTTCACGGGGGTAGGGGCTCTCTTATACCACCTTTCTTCTTTCGCTCATTTTCCCCCCCTCGTGTAACGAGGGGTCCAGTCTTTTTTCCACCCTCGGTAGTCTTGATGACTAACGCAGCCGAGGTGGCTGGTGGTGCCTTCAACGGCGATTGCACCCCGTCAAGAGAAAAACGACGAGTGGAGCGGTGCGTGGGCGACCCCTGACGAAAAGAAAAGGAGGAAAAATATGCACTTGCGCCAAATTGCACGCCTGGACGGAGATACGTTGCGTCGATCTCTCCTTTATATCTTTTACTCCTCGATAATAATATTTTTCTCTCGGATTCTCGTACACTTGTGTCATGTCCAAGATTGAAAAATCTCCTTGTAAATCACGTCGATGAGTTAGCATGTATAACGCAGTGTTTGCTGGTATCTAGATAATTATCTAGATAATGAAATTGATCATCTTTATCTTTAGCTAGATGAAGAAATACAAAGTATCTTTATCTTTATCTTAGATAAAAAATATATGTCATTTTATCTAAAAATTGTCTAAGATGGAATCTCATTTTCATTATGCAAAAGAGTTTTCCAGGCAAGCTTCTAAAAATCTATCTAAAATATCTAAAATATATTTATTTGGAAAATAATATTACAAATATACTTTATCTTGTACTTGTTTTGTACTTAAATTTGTGCAATGTATTAATATTTTATAAAAATAATATATGTATTGTTACACATTGATTATTATATTAATATATGTTAATAAATATATTATATTAATAAATATATTATAAATATAAATTAATAAATAAATATTTATCATATCATTTATATACTTTTTTGTTATTATTTAAATATTCTTTAGGAAAAGAGAAAGAATATGTGTTTATGATTTTAATATCCCATTTATAATCTGTTTCACATTTTTTACAAATATTTATAGTCTTATAAAATAAACAAAAATATCTAGATAATTATCTAGATTATCGCAATAATCATCTCATCTTTCATCTAGATTAAGTAAAAACAAAATCATCTTTATCTCATCTAAGCTAAATTTACGGATTTTTATCTTTATCTTTACCTAGATAATTTTGAAATTATCTACAGCAAACACTGCAGTGTAACACGTTCAATTTTCATTCACGAGCTGCCAAACATCCCCACGTACACGTTAAGTGTCGTACTTTAGCCAAGACAGAGATTGTATCGGGCCACGACAGCTGATCGATGATGCAATCAATGATGGAATTGGAAGTGCGGTGATCGCTATATCTTCGGGCTCGTTTCAAAGTAACGCGAAAGGGATCGTCTAATGATGATTTATGCGTCGTATAATCCCAAGGCCTCGCGGCAAACACAGCCGCGGTATCGGTACTCTCGTGTAATCCTCATCTCCGTGGACTCCATTCCAAGTTAATATTGACCATAGACTCCCGTAGACTCTGGCGCCGCCAGTAGACGTTCTACGCATAATCTACGTGAATTCTATGGATTGTGTGCAACGCTCGCAACGACTTCTTCGACATCATTTCAGACATGTTACGCGAGTCATGCGCGAGACTCTCGCCCTTTCTTAATCTGTTTATTCTTACATGTATACCAGGATGGGCCAGAATTCAACAAGATGAATCACACCCAGGGAGGTGATTCTACGTTTCAAAACGCATCCAAGTGATTTATCTCGAGGCGTAGAATCAACTCCACGAATCTGGCCCACCCTGTATACACATATATAAAATTCCATGTAAATATACAGAGTGTTCCAAAAGTCCCGGACCGGTCGAATATTTCATAAACTATGCACTTTAGAAAGAAATGTTTCAGACAAAAGTTGTATGGCTTGAAGGGGGCCATCAGACAGTGGCAATGATTTGACGTGGGAGAGTCATTTGAAAGTCACGTGAAGATCACCGTCAATTTCTTAAATGGAACCCCCTATTTTTTATTACATATTCGTGTAGCTTATCTCGAGAGCTTTCCAAAACACTATAATAAAGTATTTCTTCATTGATTACTTTTCGAGTTATGAGGCTTGAAATCATTTCTTAATTTTACATAAACCGTAAAATATCTTGTGAAATATTCATTTTTCGATTATCTTACCTTATTAATTTTATGTACAAAATAATGAGAGGAATCAATTGGTGTAAAGAAAACACATAGTTGTTTAAAAAAAAAAATATGTAATTGTTAATTGCAAATTACATATTTTTTTCTTTCCGGTCCGGGACTTTTGGGACACTCTGTATATAAAGTAATATATCTTATGCGATAAAAGCACCTAAAGGTAAGTCGTGTAGCTGTTTCGGTGCCTGAAGCCTGAAGAAAAGGGAAACGAGGAAGGGCCAAGCGCAATAAAGTCAAAAGAGAAAAGAGAAAAGAGAAAAATGAGATAAAATGTATGGGAACGAGCGAGACGGTGATGGGGGATGAGAAGGGGGGAGGGGGAGGGAGGGGGCGAGGGGGCGAACGAACAGGCGGAGCGAGAGACCGGAAAGTCAATATTGTGCGCGATGAGATACGTCAAAATTATTGCCGGTATTAAAATTTATCGGATGCCGAAAGTGCGTCTGGGTAAAACTTACTTCATCGTGCGCATGTCGTGCGCGTTTATGGCTTTTCGATATCCTATACGCGTCGCGAAAAAGCCGCGGGGCCGAGTTGCGAAAGGGGTAATAATACACGGCGGTGTGTTAACAGCGAGCGAGATTCGAATTCGAATTCTCTCGAGTTATTTGAAATTTAAATTCAAATTCACGCGCGTGAAAAATAGGTGAAATTTCGCTCGAGGTTGAAGTACGATTTATTTATTTTTCTGGAAGAAAACGAGCAACGCGAGATAAAATTTTTGTCGCATAAATCTCGATAAAATGATGTGAAAATGATGCAAATGTGGCGTATATAAATTTGACTTATATGAAAAATAAGCGATTTTGAAAATTCATGCATAAGTAATGAGGCATAAATAATAAATGTTACGGGGAATAGGTGCGGTACGGAAGGAGAAAATGTTCGTAATCACGTTGTTTGCATTGACAATGTATTTTGACAGTCGAGGGGAACTTTGCTCAAATTATTAATATTCATAAGGAATTTTTAAAAATGTTACTATCGAGCGCAAAAAAATGATAATGCGTGAAAATATAATAAATTCGGAGAAGGCTCGCGCATATTTCTAGCGCGCTTATTTCATGGGCAGCCATTGTTAAATCGATAGATTTTCTTTCGCCGAAACTCTTATTAAAATTCCCATCTTACGTTGCTTACGAAAGGAGAACATTTTTACGAAAGAAACGAAATTTCTCCTCCAATTAAAATTTTTTGACAGAACCAAAATAACGAGACGAAAAAACTTAAGGTTAAAAGGCCAATCTTACCTAAGTTCACTGGACATATTTTTCCCTCGGCGATGAGCAGACAACTTCAAGGATAACCCGGCCGATTGGATTTCGGTGTCGCTGATTCTAATGTTTGCGCGAAAGTCGGAGGAGGTTTCACTCGGATCGACGTAAATTCAACGCGAACCAAACGAGCGCACGACGACGACTGGACTCCCACTGGCTCCGGGTAAACCGGGCGCGAGTCAGACCGGCACGAAGTGCGCCGAAGATGGCCGAGGTTACGTTTGAAAAGCCGATTGTATCGCGGTCTCTCGTCTCGATCTTTTATTTGTAAACTTTGCTCGAATATATGAGAGTATGCGACAGTGCTTCTCACTTTTTTTTTTTATTTACATGCGTTAAGGACGTTCATGCGGTAATCGTGAGTCAAATGAGGACTATCATTTACAAATTTTATTTACAGTTTGTTAATTGTTTAAAAATATTTCAATAATAAATAAATTAAATTAATTAAATAAATAATATTTAAATAATATTAAATAATATTTTAATAATATATGAATAATATTTTTTTCTTAAATTTGAAACGTAAAAAGTTATGGTTTTTCATAACAGCCTATGTTAAGAAAAACATTTTTCATCGTTAATAACTATTTTTAGTGACGGATAACATACCACGAATTTTGTAAGAGCGATCACAATGTTATTATTCTTGCTAAATATCAAAGATTTGAATTTTTATCTAATAATAAACTTAATGCCCGAACGTCCTTAAGACCCCTCTCCCTCTTTTTCTGCCTTTTTTCAATATTTTGCTCTAAAATATTTGCGACGCACGCGAGTCAAGAATCACTAAAATCATTCATTTTATACAATTACTACAATTCTTATTTTGTAAACAAACTATACATTAATTATATAAAATATATAGCATATACCTATATAATAATTATATAGAATATAATAATAATAATAATGATAATAATAATAAAATGTAATAATAATAATTATATGGAATAAAATATATAACTCCTGATTATCTGAATGAATTCGAAAATAATTAGACGTTCAATAAAATAAATTATTAAATAAGATGATAGGGATAATTGATTAAAGGATATAGTTGGTAAACAAAATAATAACGATTATTTTAGGGAGGAATTATTTCAATAAAAATTTGCAACTTATGTTTATCACAATTTTAAATAGAAGATTTAAATAATTTTTACTTTATTATGAATAAATTATTCGGATACTAAATTTTGTCAAAATGTTTAAGCAAAATAAAACTAGATCCCACGCAAAAATACGTAAAAATTATCATAGTCAAAAATCCATAAAATCGGATAACCTATCGACTTCAAATGCTAACAGCAATGAGTGAGCAATATTATTGACTACATTTAAAAAAATCATACAATACATATTATTCTTGATTTTCCAGTTAATAACTGAAATTATTGTATAATAAAACTTTTTGTAAATATTATAATTATACAAAATAAGCATGTTGATCGTAAAGATTTCACACATAAATTCAAATTAAAGTTTTTATAATATAATTTAATATATTAATTGTGTTTTAATGTAAGATAACATGCATGTATCCAGTGAAAATTATAATTTCCATTTTCAGTTTCTATCATCATTATTTTATTTAATTTTATAATTATTTTCATTTAATTATTATTTTCTTTAATTTCTTTATTTTATTAGGAAATCAAAATGTTTGTTCCCAACAATTTCATTAGCAACGCCGAACGAAAATTGTGAATCAAAACATCCGCAATTTATGACAAGAGCGCACGAAAATGCAGCCGTACATTTTGGAGATTTTTATGGTTTTCAGAATAATAATGAAAAAGCATGTCACGATAATCTTGCAGAAGAAGAAACAACAACGATTAAGAAAAAACGCAGGACGAATTTCACGAGGCAGATGGTACACAAGTAAAGAAACCTTCTTCTCTAGAGAGTGAGAATTTCTCGCAAAATTGTCCTGATGAAATTTTCGAGCGAATTATTCACCTTCATCCCAGATTAGAACGAGCAATTGATACGGAAGATTACGCGCGACAAATATCGGCCTTTTTGAAAGAGACTGTAGAGCCGCCCAACTTTAGATTGAATCCATTTCTATCCGAGAATTCTATTCCTGATGGAAGTCGAAGATTCTCGCGTTATCCATCCTGGTACAAAGAACCTCACAAGAAGTTTATCATTGATATTCTCAAATCCAATCATTCAAATTAATGACTTATAAATTTGGCAGTAATTAATTGAAAATAAAATAATATATTATAATAAAAATATTTTAAAAATTTGGCACATCATATAAAAAAAAATTAAATAAAAATAAAAAAAAATGTCAAATACATATTTCTGAGATGGAGTCTATTAAAATACAATATTGTATCAAGACAAAAATTAAATTATTACGCGAAGTTATTAAAGATTGATTATAATTATACAATAAAAAAATTAATTTTTCGTAATTTATTTCTTCTTCGGGAGATGTCTCGGATCGATCTTGACATTCTTATGTGATCATTGATAAAGATTAATTGGAAATTAGTAGCAACATTAAAACCGTACAATGATCTATTGCATTCTTCTTGTAAGAAACATGGCAATTAAAGATGTAGCGGTAAACAGATTGAGTATTGTTCAAGTTATATGCATATGGCCGCGAGATAGGATTCACTTCAGTATTCATTCCGGAACACTAATTAGCAGCCGCTAATCATTAGTTCATACGATGTTATGCCGTAATTAACTAGTATACTATTACGAGTACCGCTGCTGGAATAATTAAGTTCAAAAACATGTAAAAAGAAATTACGTGATTAGTTAATCTGAAATCGCAAAAAAAATCTCTGTTATATTAATATAATAATATATTAATATATTAATTATTATTAATAAAAATTATAATTAATATATTAATATATTAATATATTAATAATTAACAATAAAAATTATTATTAATATATTAATATAATAACAACACAAAAGGGAGAGAATTTGCAGCTTAAAATCAACAAAGGAAATCAAGCAAATAAAAAAATAGCACGAGAAAAATGTATGCGGTTTAAGATTGAATAACAAAGATTGTGTAATGTGTTTTCAAAAAGCCGATATACGTATTGTTTTCGCTTCGGTGGAAATCTAAGGGGACATACAATAGGGTGGCATTTATCGATTATTCCATCCACCGGGGTAAAGACGAATTCCATGTATCTTTAACGACGGCGGAAACACAAAACTTCCAAGCAGGGAAATGCCAGCGTCGCGTAAATAGATATTTGTCTTATCAAAAGTGAGTTTTATATCAGTACGTTAAAAAGTTTGTTCCGGCCAATTAATTCCTAATTTGCAATTGTAATATATAAAATGTAGCAGTTCTGAACAATACGAATCCTTTAATATCTATTTTCAATATTTATATATTAATATCGGTCAATTTTTTATTATTAATATTATTTCAAGATGTATGCACACTCGCATATGTATAATAAAATATGTGATATTTTATATTTTATACTTTTCGATTTACTTTGTCTTGCATTTTTTGTATGTGTATAAAATATAATAAATATAAATATATAAAATATATACAAATTATCAATCAAAAATATTTATCAATTAAATAAAAAATAAAAAATTTGAGATTTTCCTAATTTGTTTCTTAATTTTGATGTAATAAAATATTAATTATATATATATATATATATATATATATATATATAATTGTAATAAAATATATGTACAATAATATTTTTTGTACTTTATTTACTTTATTTACTTTTCGATTTTTTAAATCTATTTTTGAATTTACTTTAATATTTTTATAGAAAATAATACAAATAATGAAATAAATAATTTGTATAAAAGAATATATTATTGTACTTAAACAAAGGCATTACAGTTTGTACAAGAGCAATGCTTGCATAAAAATAAGAATAAAAATAATCAACTTTGCTGATTATTCTGTAAAAAATTCAGCAAATATTATGATAAAAAAGAATGAGTATTTTATTAGAGATATTGAATATTTGATAAATATTTTACATTTACTGATGCCATTCTAATGAGCTTAACTTGAAGTAATTTTTAAAATCTTTAAGGCTTGTTGCTTGTTTTTTAAAGAAATTATTAAAACTCATTTTCTTTATTGACATCGTACTGAATATGACGTTAAATGAAAAAGATTATATGAATTTTCTTTCTTTGCAAAATCGAAATAAGTAAATTTTTTTAAATGTTATTACTCATATTCAATAAAATTAATAAAAAATACGTTGAAAATACTTCTATTTTAGTTCCTATTAATAAATGCGTATATAATTTATATTACAATTAATATGCATATATAATTAATTATGTATGCATATTAATTATAACGTAAATTATATTGCATTTATTAATATTTATTAATATTTTATATTTTCAGCGAGAATGTATTTTACGATTATTAACAGCTATAATTATTAAGTCATAAATCAAAAAGACAATCTTCAATTTTACTAATCTATACAAATACGAGTAATCGCATTAAAAAAAAACTTTCTTTTGATGTATTACATAGATGGCTGGCTTTGATAATACTTACCCCTTTTTTAATAAAAATCATATTTTAAGATTTATAAAGCATTTTTAATGACTCACCCTATTATTCGTACATCAAATCTTGAAAGACAATTTAAATCTGAGAATAAATTGAGATGTGATATATGTTGAACATAGCATTTTCTAGCTTCTACTCATATTTAAATTCAAAATTGTCTCAAGATTTGGTGCGCATAGTATTCTTTAAGATAAACTATTAAATATCCATATTTACATAGATTTATTCTTTTTTTGTAAACTATACAGAATGGTCCACAATATGATTGTTTAAAATAAGTTAATGACTATTGTGAGACTATTGAACGATGGAATAACATAACACGTATGAATACGTGCAAATATATAATGCATATTAGTGTAATAAATGTATATTCAGTATGATGTGACATGATCATTGCAACTCTGGTATAAGCTTCATTCGTGTACATATTTATCTGCTGGTTTCATTCAAATTTAAGCGACGTTTGTACATCCTGGAAGCTATACATATGTGTGTGTATACATATGTGTGTGCAAATGGACATATATATATATATATATATATATATATATATATATATATATATGTCCATTTGCAAATATAAATTATCCGGGTTAATTTACAACATTGATTCAAACTCATGTTTCTTCTCTCTCAATATTGATTAATATAAATATATTTATTTCTTTTTAAAATTGAAATAATTTCTTTAATATTGAAATCATGAAATTATTAATGATAATTCTGTAATTTATGTACAAAACAAAGTTTTCTAAAATTCAATTTCATAAGATTATGTGCATGTGTGTATATTATATATAAACATACACACATAGTTACATACAAATTCTAAGAAAACAGACTCAAATAGAGCATATAATATCAAAGTATAATTTTAATTGCCTACAACATGTAATTAGTAGTATTAAAAGAAAACAATTTAATTATTTAGAAATGTTCTATAAATTTCAATTATTTATTTTTGATATCAATGATATAAACTGCTGTTTTTTTAATGGCCCCTTATTATGTACATAGTTAATATACAGAATATTGCAAAGCTCTATCGCATTTCCTCTTAAAAACAAAATTTTTCTAATTTTGAAATTATACCATTCTAAAAAACATAATTATGTTGGAATTATACAACATTATAAATGAATAAACAATTATAACATACTAAATAGTAGAAATCAAAATATAATACATTAAAATATAGTTATATAATATATTAAGTGTATCTAATATATTTAATAAAAAATACTAATAGTGACTTTCATAAAAAATACCTTGTGTAACTGCATTCAGTTCACATTTCAAACATCAGGATGTATGTAATGCCGCTTAAATCAGTTTTACATTTATTTCAGTTGTCTTATCCAACTTTTATTAACACAAATAGATTACTGGCAACCAATTTTGAAGATGTAATTCATTGCACCATTGTCGATGATTATGAAGAATATTCCTTACACTCTGAATCTGATTAAAATGGAAAGTACAGCAGAATACATCAATGATATGTATTTTTCACACTTAATGCATTCCACTGTACTTTGTCTAATAAAGATAATTCGCTCTTATCTTTGGAACAAAGCGCAATTAGTTCCCGTCAGATTGATATTTTCGAGGCCTTCCCTAGGTTTTTTTCCATGAATAAAACATTTCCAAGGGTCGATTGACACGCCAAAATTTATCGTTCACTTGCCGTAACGTTTGTGAACCATTTAGTACCACAAGTTGTCCTGATGAAGGGGCGATGTAGATACAGAAATTTAGTAACCTATCCGATTCTGATAATTCAGTATCCAGATCCAGTGTCAGACGCATCGCTAAATATTTACTCAGGTGATCCACTGCAAGAACAAAATGCCTTAATTACAAAAAAAAATTTATTTTCCTTGCTTTCTCATATTTGACATATTTATTTTTAACAAAATTTTTTTCTTTTTCATTATACAACTTATGCAAAATACTTTACCTGTTGCATTTGCTGTTGTTTTTATGTACCGAATACTATTTTCTTTCAACGCTTTTATTAGGGAATTATCACCAGCCATTTCTGTAGGATGCGGCTTGAAAACAAGTTCAATTTCATTGAGCATTAAAGGTTCACTAGGACCTTCACCTTCCGTGTCAACCATAGAGTCACCACCGCCAGTTTCAGCCTCAGCACTTGAAGAGTCATTTTCAGAATTTTGAAAGCTCTTCTGTCGTTTCGGTGCTTTTGGAATTTGATTCGCAGGATTTGGTGATGGTGTGGTGGAATTTCTCGACGTTGTCCCTGATAAACACAAAAATAAACAAAGATATAATAAAAGTTTACAAATTGTAACAGAAACTGTTGGATTAATTACAGGTTGAGAAATGCTGATATTTTGAAGACTAACCATACCTCCACTATTCAAAGGTCCTGTTGCGCTCTGAGAAGAATCACTTTGATTTGCTACATTTGTGGATGGATTTGGTGTTGTAGGTGCGCTAACATTTGGCGTATTGTTGTAAGATGTTGCGTTACTCGCATTTTCGGATTCATTGGCATTCTTCCTTGAACGTTGGGGACGATTCTGACTTTGTAACTTAATACCTTCTGTAATAGAATTAACAAGCGCTGCTTGTGAATGTGATTTATTTAATTTAGCCAAAACTCGTTCCTGATGAGCCTCATATTCATCTCTGCTTGGGTAGATTTTCGAAATTAGCAAATCAAAGTTTGGATCCGGTCTGAGGGATCGTTTGGAAACCAATTTCTTCCTACATGTGGGACATTCCTGCAAATATCATAAAAATTGTTATGTTAGAAACAGGTACGAGTAGGTTAGAATATAAAAAATAAGATTTATTCCATTTTCATATAACTTGAGATAAACTTTATTTTTCACTCCCGACTGTTGCCAACCTACAGTTGGCAAAAAGACAGAAGGAGTATGAGTTTCACCAAGTTTGAATTAATTGTAACAGATATTCTTGATAACTACAATATATCTCGATATCATGTTTATAAATTTCTTATTAATCAAGGAAGGTTTCAAGCATATAATTATCACTTTATAGTATCCGTGTCATTAGTTTAAATGGAAGTATATAATGCATTATACAATAATTAATAAATAAATAAAAATATATAATTAATAAATAATATATAATAATTAATTAATAAATAAAATATATAATAATTAAGAAATAAATAAAATAATAAAATAATAAATAAAATAATAAATAAATAAATTTTCCCATAAATATAACATTGTTGACATTCTGTGAAATTAATAATACACCTTTAACAGAGTCATACGACGCATTATCGGGTTTAGTCCTGCTCGCAGAATCCTAAATACAAGCTTATACCTTGTTGCCACTCCGTAAAGCCGTAATAATACAGTCGGAGCAGAAGCGATGCAGGCACTCCTTGGTGGTCATAGTTTTCTTTAACATGTCCAGGCAAATGGGACACATGAGCTCGCTGTGCAGACTCCGCGGACTGACCGCGATTTCCGTGTTGTCGGTGATCGCGTCCTGCGGCGTGCGATGTAGCTCGTACAGTGACAATTCCCATGTTTTGTTGAGGCCGACCTGTTCCGCGGATGCCATCTTGATCGGAGTCGATCCAGTCAATCGGATCGTCCCAAGGTGTTCAACTGTTCGCGCACAAATGCCACCTGGAAGAGCGAGGACGAGGACGACCGGCTTCGGCGCCGCTTCAGTGCTGCCAGCTGTCAAACGTCAAATGGATCTGCCCGCGTTACCTGCACTTTTTGCACTCGCGGGAAATTCTGATTTCGATAGAACCTTATACACATGTGTAGTAGGGGGGAAGAGTAAATAGATATTAAATAAATTTTATTAAATAATTATTAAATATTATATATTATAAATATTAAATAAATTTTATTTAAATTTTTATTATAATAAATTTTAATTTATTTAATTTTAATATTATATTTAATTTTAATATTAAATAAATTTTATTTAAATTTTTATTATAAATATTTTTAATAATTTTATTATAAATAAATAATTATTGTAAATAATTTTATTATAAATATTTTAATATTATATTTAATTTTAATATTAAATAAATTTCTACTATAAATAATAAGTTTGGCTCTCTCTCTTTCTTTCTCTCTCTCTCTCTGTATTAATAATAGTATACAATTAATTATTAATATATAATATATAATATAATTATTAATATACATTAATATATTACCTGATACATATTAAATTTGTGCGAAAAAAGTGCAGAATCTAGTAAGTCATTTTCTCCTATTATTTAAAAGATTAACATTTGATTTTCATGCGCGATAATTTTCGATCTTTCGGACTAATTTTTTCGGCTCTATTATTATTTGCGCGACGACACTCAAAGAGTAAAATAGTGGTGGGAGGCGTTCCGTTAAATTCCTTTTCTAGACGCGATCGCGATCAATATCGAACAATTTGCTGTATTAAAATACGTAAAATATATTTCCATATGATGAACGGAGAATAACACACAGTGTTCGGCCTTGACGATGTAAACAATAGCGCGCTAGTGTTATACGTCATACGGCCTTGGTATCATTCACACGGCGATACTCGAGCAGTAAAGATGGTGCGAAATACGTTGTATATTTTGTTAAATTAATTATTAACTAAACGATTATTATATCATTTCAATTATATTAAACTATCGAACTTATAATTGGTATTAATCTATCTATTATTTTTATATATTGTTTCAAAATAGATATATTGCTTATTATTTTTCATTTTCTCGATAATATATATATATAATTCGCTCTAAAAATCACATAACATAATGCATGAAATGAATGTATGAAATATTCTAGGTTTTATTTTAATACAAAGTATCTATAATAAAGCATTTATAACATTTTTGTTGTTAATTAATACTTTTATATAGAAATATTTTAATATTTTATAAAATATTTTTAAAATAATATAATTATTTTAATATTTCATATATATAAAAATCTACTCTCTTTATTAATTACATTTTTCAAAAATTTATAATAAAAACAAACATTTTTTCGCTAGTTTTACGTTTAAAGTATTAATATCAGAGATAAATCTCCTTTTGCCAACAATAATCATTTTTTGAAATATTAATTATTTTAAATGCTGTTATAATTTTTCTTCTATTTGTATGTTATAGATCAATGCAACAACTCTAATAGCCTGAGAGGAGGAGGCCTAGGAGAGGCATCTTGCATAGATGGAGCAACCTGATGGTGAATATTGTTGTTTATATTAATTAATATGTATAAATAATCGCATACATATATTAATTTGATTTATTTATTTGAATTATTTAAACAAGAAAAAATTAGAATACTTAAAAATTAACTGTAATAATTTTATAAAATATTAAGGATATTGTTCCGAAAGGAACACTTCGAGTTCCTGGCAGTCCTTTTGCGTACTGAAAATAGATAACAAAATAATGTAACACATACAATTTAAGAAAATTAATTATGTTATGATTTTTCGATCATCGATGCTTATTATATTTCTTTAACAATATTAGAATTAAATATATTTCGACCAATGCTTTTAATTTTCTCAATCCTTGTTAATTAAACAATATACAATTTAATCGAGAATCGATTAAATAATAGAAATCCAAAATATTGAATAATCACTTCGACCGTTGCGATCTTTACGGACAATAATTATTATTTTAATACTTACAGTCAAAAATATATCTCATCCGTATTACTTTATCGTTCTATTTGACAATCTAAATGTAATTTAGATTATGAGGGAACACGAAATAAAACAATCGAATTAAAAATGCAAATAATTAGCATAACGAAAGACTTCTTGATGAATAGTTTAATAAATAATCAATTAATCTTAATCAATAAATTAAAATAAACTTTCATAATTTAATATTCCTCGCGCAAATATTTTATATTATAGAAAATATTTCGGCAACGAGAGACTTATCAATAATACCGTGTTTAACCTTGATAAGCAGTATCGCGCTATTGTTAATATGTTACACAGCTTTATTATCATTCACACCTCGAGTAGTGACGTTTCACATATTATCAAATTCTTTCTTCACATAGTCAACCTTGGCGATATAAACAGTACCGCAGTAATATTTCTGACTTACGATCATTTGCTCAGTGGCTCTTGAGCAGTAAAGTAGTGATGCGAAACGTTTCATATTATCAAATTCTTTCTCTGAACACAATTGCAAGTGCAACGAGAAACTTTTCGTCAATAAGTGTAAGTGCAACGAGGAATTCAAATGAATGCAAGGAGGATTGAAGTGCTACGAGGAAAAAGCGAAGAAAGTAAAAGAAAGAAGGAGGTTTTGGAAATGGATGGACCAATAAGATATGAGGTAAATCATTAATATAAATTATTTATCACATTCATTATTTATTATATTGTTGTCCCCGCGTCCTGTCCCGCTGAATGTATTCGTCACTTGTTGAATTCTTTCGTTATAAGTTATAAGGCTTGAAATCATTTTTTAATTTTACATAAACCGTAAAATATCTTGTAAAATATTCATTTTTCGATTATCTTACCTTAATAATTTTATGTACAAAATAATAGGAGGAATCAATTGGTGTAAAGAAAAGACATAGTTGTTTTTTTAAAAAAAATATGTAATTTGCAATTAACAAGTGTCAAATCATTGCCACTATCTGATGGCCCCCTTCAAGCTATACAACTTTTGTCTGAAACATTTCTTTCTAAAGTGCATAGTTTATGAAATATTCGACCGGTCCGGGACTTTTGGGACACTCTGTATATCGTTCTGCGGATGCAACGATATATAAATTATTTATCATTAGTATATGTATATTCAAAATATACATATTTCGTTTTATTTCTTTGATAGTGATTCAATAGTGATTTTAAATTGTAACATATATAATACATATACTTATAAAAAATATTCCATTTTATTTTAAAATGATTAAAACATTTATAAAATTTTTTATTAATATTTTCAGATACTTCTTGTTTTATAAAATATTTCATATTAATATATTTATTTAAATTTTACATATAAAAAAATAGAAATTTTTTTTATTTATCGTATTTCTAAAAGTTTATATGTAAAAAGTATAAATTATTTTGTAATTACGCAATTCATAATATTAAAATATATCTATTTAAAAGGAAGAATGTAAAAATTAATTGCGCGCAATAATTAGTTTCAAAATCAATTATTTTGAACATGCTTTATGTAATATATTTTCTCTTATCTTTTATATTTTTATTTATTGTTTATATTTGCAAATTTAAATTTATATATAGTATGTTACAAAATAAATTCCAAAACAAAATATATTATATATAAAATTATATATAATATAACCCTCCCATTGGGTACACCTTGTCGGGGTGGGAGGGCTTAGTACTTGGATGGCGCCTTGAAGTTTATCTTAAATTTTTCTATTTAGTATAAATCTTAAGGAGCCTGAAGGGGAAGCTAAGTACCCTTTCGCGTCATCGGTGCCGTCAACGTGTCGCGGACGGTGGCGTTTCGCGTTTTCGCGTTGTGTTCGAAACCGGGAGTGCCGTTCAAAATATATATATGTATTAAATATATATCGCGCGAAATATATATCAAATAGAAAATTTTTTATCGTACTGAAGTAGTGCGGGAACCGTTCAGTATCGCGCGTAAAAGTGCGAAAATAGCGATAAAAATATCGCTCGTGAGTGCGGTCGTGGCGTTAAGTACCGCGCGTTTAAAACTGAGAGGAGGAGGAGGCCTGGGAGAGGCATCCTGCACCAGTGGAGCAACCTGATGGTGAGTATTATTATTTTATATTTATTATGTATAAATAATTGCATACATATATTAATTTGATTTTATTTATTTGAATGATTTAAACAAGAAAAAATGAGAGTACTTAAAAATTAACTAATACACAGTAAAAAATTTTGTGTTAAATTTAACATATTTCACATGTCCCAATTTATCCACTCTAATTTTAATGTTAATTTAACAGAAGGCAAGTATGTAAATAAATAACACAAGTAATATGTTTAAAAATTAACACAAAAGTGTAACACTTAAACTTTATCTAGAAATAAAATTTGTTAAATTAACATATTTATAATATTAAATTTAGTTAAAAGAAAATGTTATTCTTACATTTTTATGATAAATAACAGAAGAGATATGTCGATTTAATATATAGAAACTGTTATAGAGAGAAAAATAACACAACTTATCTGTTCATTTTAACATATAACATATTTCATCAAAAATTCATGCATTTACATATTAATTGTGTTGTTTTAACTCTTAGAAACGGTGAATACTAACTCAACGCAGAAATGTCAAAATAATGCAACGATAATATGTTGTACATTAACATAAGAGTATGTTAAAAATTTAACACAAAAATTTTTACACAAGAAAATTTTAACAGAAATACAAAATGTTTTTTACAGTGTAATTTTTTAAAATATTAATTATTTTAAGCGCTGTTATAATTTGGATCTTATATTTGTATGTTACAGACAACGTAGCTTCAATATTAACAACTCCACTGTTGCGCATCAATGCCGGTGAGTGACGAACTTTTATTTTGAAGCAGTGGATTTATATAAATGCATGTAGATAATAAATCCGTTGCTTATTCTAATTCTCGATTGGCGGGACAATCGCGTGTACAAATTCTGATAAATTTTAAATCATTAAAA